AGTTATATATATAGAGCTAGAAATAAAAAGTACTTTTATATCTATTAATAATTCTAAGCGTAGAAGTATTAAATAAAAGAAATATTTTATTAATCTCTTTTCCTATCTAGAAAGATCTTAAAGTCTATCTAGAGAAAACTAATCTTAATATTCTAGCTTCTATTAAATAGTTTCTAAATAAGATCCTTAATAAARCTAATCTTATAATCTAGTTAATCTAAAATATTATTATTATTTATTATTAATTTTATATAGTTTAGATCTAGTTAAATAGAGATATTATCTTTTTTATAGATATTATAGATAATATAGACTAGCTTACCTATAAGAGTAACTAGATCTATATATTTAGAATAAATATATAAATCTAAAAACATATCTAAGATATTATTATTTATAATATAAATATCAATCTTAATCTAAAATAKATATYTTTTAAAATAACACTTATCTTATAAAATAYYTYTATTTTTATCTATTTATCCTTCAACATCACATATATAAGATAACTAATAAGTAAATTAAAAATTTAAAAATARAARCTTACTAAGATATATCTTATTATTATATTTAATAATAAATAAACTATTAATCTTACTATTATCTATAGACTTATAATTTATAGAGAATAACACGCGTATAAGATCTATAATAAGATAGCTAATCTTTAGTAATACTATAAATATTAAATATATAAATATATTATATAATACTATTAGTAATAGGCCTTTTATATATATTATATAGAATCTTATAATACTAAAGAATACACCACTCTATAAGACTAGAAATATATCTAATATATAAACTATATTATAAARAATATCTAAATTAAARAYYCTATTTARAARCTTAATAATAAGYATTTCTTATATATATAAAAATACTCTATCTATACTATAAATMTTATAAAAGTATACTAGATCTATATATATAATCTATAGATATATCCACTCATTATAAAATTAAAGAGCTACTTTTCTAGAATTATAATCTAGAATAATCTAATACTTATAGAAACAATAATATTAATAATAAAAAAAAGCTCTTATTCTCTAATCTAGATAAACCTATTTCTAAGATATAATTTAGCTCTATCTTAGAATAAGAGTATAGCATAGAAATAAGCTATAGAACTAGAAAACTCTAATATTTAGTTTAATATCTAAATACTTAAGAAAATTATATAGATATAGAAAATTATAAATATAAAAATTATAGTAGAGATATTAATAGATTTTTACTTCCTAATTATATATAAGACTTATATTAAGAAGATCTATATTAAGCTAATACTAAGAATACTAATTCTAGAATTAAATATTATCTTATTATAGAAAGGATATATTAAATTAATCTTATTTATCTATTATATCTAAAATACATATATAATCCTAGATAATAATAAGTTAAAGGATAAATTAAGCTAATTATTAGAGTATAAGGCTTCTATAAAACTAGTTAAACCCATAAAGCTAAAGGAGAAGCTAGAAGAAAATAATACTTTTATAATATATAATATTAAAAATAGCATTTAGAATACTTAGTAATAAATTATTATATTAATTAATTATAAATCTTATAGACTAACTACTAGAAATTATAAGATAAGATCTAGATCTATCTTTTTAGTAAGAAAAAGATGTTTAAGTATAATATCCTAGCTATTTAAGAATTATATATTAATAAGAAAATAGACTCTCTAATTATATATTCAYTAGTATTTTAARRYTAATTCTATATCTTACTATAGTMTATACTATAAAAAGACTTMCTAGATTATTCCTATATATATTTCTATATAAATAAGCGTATCAATCTAATCACATAGAAAATCTAGTTCTATAACTAAAATCTAAGTATACTAATCCTCTATATAGAGATATAAAATACTATCTATATATATAATATATATAATCCTAGTATAGCTAGTAATAAAGTATTATCACTACCCTCCCTCTAGAAAGCAATCTAACCTAGTATATAAAATATTATACTAAAAGATTTTAATCTCTATTATTTATTTTAATAAAGCACTTAATATTAATATACTAATAATAATATTATATATCTTATTAATCTTATAGATAAATATAAACTAGAATTTCTCCTTCCTCTAGGTATTATAATATATAAGATTAATAATATTA